AAATGTATGAATGTATGAGAAATTTGATTAAGTGTTGACATGCTTGTATTGGCTAAAAAAGAGCCTATTTTTATTAAAATACTTGATTAGTCAGTCCGGGTCAAATGTGATCCGATGGTACATCACATATTAAGGGGGTATTCTAGTGTAGAATTTCAAAAAAATTTATTTTTTTTTTCATATTTTTAATGTTAACTATTCAAGAATATGTTTACGAGAGGATTTTTGAAAATTTAATATATTTTCGGAGGTATAGACATTTTAATGACCCGGTCTCCAAACTGGTTCGGTTGGGTCTAATCGAACAAAAGACTTTTTCAATACGATACCCACGATTTCTCGAGTTCTACTGGACCGATTTACTTGACATTTTCAGAGAATCTTCTTTATAGACTTCTCTCGAGTATGTACTAGCCTCATTCACAAATTTCATAAATAAAATGGTATAATAAATCGTTTTTTTTTTCAAACAGTCGCCCTTTTGCCAAAAAAAAATTTTTTTTTCTTATCGCTAGTTCATACAATTGCGACATCATTTCAGATATATAATCTCTTATTTCAATTGATTTTTTGAATTAATGACTAGGAGGGTTAAAATCATGGGTATGCTCATGTGCCAATTTTATGAGACCCCCCACTTCATCAGCTACCAGTTTTTTAAATTTTTAACTTTTTTTTTTTTTTTAAATTTTTGTAACAATAATAAATAACTGATAAAAAATCGATAGTACAAATATTGAACAACACTTTAAAAATTACCCAAAATTTATATCTCTAGACTAGAATATCCCCTTAATATGTGCATAGTCAGAAAATTATAAAGAAACAATTTAGAGTGTGGTAATCTTGCCAAATTACGTCAATAACTGATAGATACTAGAGATTACAACCTGTCTAACTATTTTCAAACAAAAAAATCTTGTTAAATTAGAGGCAAGTGCAAGTTGAAGAAAACTTTATCAAGAATTTACTAAAAAATATTTGTAAAATTCCGTCAAAAAGATGATCGTCATTTAATAAAAAAGTCAAAACAATTTTTAAGTAATTGAATAAGCGAGTAAGCTGTTAAGATAATTGTTATTTTATAAAACTTAATATCAGCATGAATGACAGGCGACTTTCTAAATATTATGTACATACATAGTACCTACGGAGTACACGCCTCCCCATAAGTGTGCCGCTAATGCCAATGCAAGGGACATTCATACATATATATGTATATATATATATTTCTATATGTCTGTACCTACATAAACTTAAGTAATTTAATTTTAGAAAGCATTGTGTAAACCCAGCGCCATGGGCGCAGTTTTATTTTCGGTAGCTGTTGAGGCTGTGAAAACACTGCAGAATTGCACTCGTGAGGTAATCCCAAAGTAATTAAATGACTCGCTGCTAGACTTTGATGATGCAGCGGCAATAAAGATGATAAATCTCTACACACATAGCAACTTATGTATGTGTGGTATAATGTAGATGACTTGATGCATATTTGTAGGGCGCAGGCTGAGAGAGCAATAGTCAACTTTAAACTGATGATAAGTGATTGTTAAATCCCAGATGTCTCAATATGTAATTTAAAAAAAAAAATTTTTTTTGTAATAGTTTATTTACACATACATGTTTCGTTTTTTATATACTTTTTCATGTAAACTATTTTTAATTTTATAATTGTGGTTTATATTTTTATACACTGAATAGTATATATATTATATTTTTATAGACTGATAGCTGTGGCATACAAGCTGATCGATCAGAATCAAGCACTGTTATGGAAAACTATTTAATTTCGCAAGTTATCTTCACGAAATTTGGAATTAATATCGCTATTTATCAATCATAGCGATCATTTCAACCCCGAGTAGGTGTCTTTGCTGCGCACACGAATAAAAATTCAAAAAAAAATTAAAAAAATTTTTCTTTTTGAAAATTTAAAAAAAAACTAAGTGTAATTTTGTATATCAGAGCTATCTAAAATTGGTTTTATTTGGCCGTATTGCCGCTGTCACACAAACGCCACTGAACGCGTGATGCAAATTTTTGTGTTTGTGCAAAAAATAGCAACAAATAATGCCGTCTTGGGCGCACAGCATCAGCAAAGCGCAGCCTGCACAAGCGACATGAACACTTGGCAAACGGTAACACAAGTGTTTTGGAAACCGAAACCGAAAAGCAAACATGCATACACACATCCATGCACAAGTATATGATAAACAAACTAAAAAGCAACAACTACAATGGCTCAGATAATTGCGTGGAAAAAACAAAGCGAGCAAAGCCAAATAAAAACAAGAACAACAAACTAATAGGTATTATGGCAAAGACTGACTAACTGAACTGACTTGACAGGCGAAAACCTGATTTCCTCCAACAGCTGTGTGTGGGTTTTACTTTTGCCCAAACACTGACAGCTGGCGGCGACTTAACAACAAACCGAGCATTGCCGCCGCGCAGAAACGATGTCGATCGATGTCGTTTATTTGCGGCACTCAAGTGGCTAACTGTTTCGTTGAAATGACGATTTTTATGGTTTGCCATAAAATATGGTGTTTTAAGTTGCAATTGAATTGTTCATTTAAAATTTGAGTAAAAAAAAAATTATATAAAGCTTTACTGCTAATGAATCATTTAATGACAGTTGAGCTTTAAACTAGACAATTTAAATATAACATAAAACGAGAAAATGAGTTAACAACGGTTGCACCGAAGCTATAATACTCTTTACAAATAAAAAATTTTCCAAACAATAACTTCATTTTGATCGTTCAGTTTGTATGGCTGCCATACGCTATAGTCAGCCGATCTCAACAAACTCTCAAAGAATGTGCCGTTGCCTTTAACAATGAGTCGAGCAAAATTTCGTGAAGATATCTCGTCAAATAAAAAAGTTTTCCATACAAGGACTTCATTTTGAATCTTCAGTTTGTTTGGCAGCTATATGCTATAGTGGTCCGATATCGGCGGTTACGACAAATGGGATCTTCTTGAGGAAAAAAGGATATGTGCAATATTTCAGATCGATATCTCAAAACCGAAGGATGCGAACTACGCATATAAACAGACGGACGTACGAATATGGCTGCCGTTCCCACAACAGTCGGGTCTAAATAACCGGAACGATCTTCTGGGTGTTACAAACTTAATATAGTTACCTGTTCAGCGTATAAAAAAATTAATTTCTGCTGCAATGAATATAAATAATAGCAAAGCATGATTTATAGGAGTTAAAAGCATTGCTCTACCCTAAGGAAATACATACATTCATATATATGTATGTATGTACGTTCGAAGTTGCAATAAGAATAACAGTACTACAACGACAATAAAACTAAAAATAAAAACAAACTGACAACGCCACACACTTTTCAAAACACATGCATGCGTTGAAAAATATTTACACACATACATACATACGGCACATACATACATGTACTATACATAGCAAAAGGGAGAACGAGTAATAAGGCGAAACCAATAAAAGAGGGGGCTGCAATTGCGTACGAGCACAAGCAGTGTCCCATGTAGCACTGCTCCTGAATTCTGCACATGCCCATACAAGTGGGCCGCGGTGACCGACTGGTTTGCAGCAGCGCAGACAGCCACTGCATATTATACCTATATATATTGTAGTATGTTCATTTGTGGGCATACAAGTTGGAGAATTGACATGCTCGCAGGCAGGCAGACAAGAGTCAACGAATGAAATCAAAATTCGAATAGCAAATAAACGAGAATAAATCGGCGCACATACTTCGTATATAAATTTACATATATGTATATATGTATGTAAAGCGATAGTGCTTGGCACAAGCTGTTCACCCGTCTGAATACAGCTGGCTGACGAGCCCATGACTAACTGGCCAACTGACGCAATGGCTGTGACTTGTCGCAAGGCGGCAAAGACGTTGATTTCATATTTACACTCACACTAGCACAAATGCAAACATTTTGCATACATATGCGGGCTTACAAGCGTTAAAAAGTTATTTAGTAGTCAAAGTACGAATGCATTCGCTCTGCTACGGGCGACTGGTAAACTGAGATTGCATTTTTATAGCAATCGTTGCAGCCACTTCCCAGCTAGTGTGGCCTTCAGTTATACTATCTCTGATGCTATTTCGTCAAACTGCTGCAGCTGGTGTTTGCTACTTTCATTAATAGCGGTGCAAAAATAATCACAATAATATCTATTGTAAGACACGAGCAATATTTATCCAAATAGTGTTTGGAGTTTTAAACCGATTGCAAATGCATTTGCTGACCTCTTACACAAACGAACAGTCGCGGAATTTAACAATAGATTCGTTCCTTCACTGCAATATTTTGCGTCGCTTTCCACTAAAAAGTAAATTAAAATATTAAATATTTGCAAAATACTTCAGACTTTTATGCATCAACACAATTCTATATAAAATCCGAACATAATTATATTTTAAGAACACAACAAAAATGTTATCACCGATTACAGCTAATAGCAATTTTGTTTTTAAATTGCAAAGCATTATAAACATACAAACATTTGTATTTACTTAATCAGTAGTAAAACATTGCAACTGTATACAGGAAAGATGTGCAGCGTAAAAGACTCCATAAACAGAGTTTGCGCATAAAAGTTTGTCATTCGAAAAAGCTGCTGCGAATATTCTCTTTTTGTGTTCAAAAAAAAATCATAGATTCTTTGCAGCTACATTTGTACATATGTACGTATGTATATGCATATGGACAAACAAATGCAACAAAACAGAAAATCTGAAATACCGCCACCAGCATAACAAATTGGTGTAAGAAATTGTTAAAATAAATATATTTATGTATGTAAATATTTAGGTATATACTACTGCGAAAACTAAATTGTAAGGGATGAAGGAGGAGCAGCATACTTATTATATTTCATTCATAATACTAGGTAGGGGATTACCACAGGCGTGGCAAAATAGATATTAGTTAACAAAATAGCGATATCGTTTTATTCTAAACAAATTTTAACATTATGTACTTACCGTTAGAAATTTAGTTGTAGTAAGTTGCTATACAAATAGGTAATTTTTCGCACGATTCACCGTATATTATTATAAAATAATTTTATCTTGTACATTGGGAATCTTAGCTCACTACAGATTTTTCTGTGCACACTTTTTAAACATAGATTTTCTCTGTATTTACTTTTATTCCTTTGCAGCCGCTGCAAAAATATTCCTTTTGATTGTTTGCAGACAAATAACTCCCTAAACTGGCCGTGGTAGCTACTGCTGTTCGCTATTCGGCTTCCTTATTTACAGGCTCATGAACCACACACTCACACACATACACTAAAACACTAGCTCGGCTCCAGCAGCTAGTGTTATGCTCCAGTAGGAACGTATACATATGTATGTTATTCCTACATTCACTGCCGAGTCAAAATTTTGCAGCGTAGCGATTGCAGACAATTGAAAAATTTTCCTGTGAAGGAGTGGCGGGCTCGTCTGAACTGTGTTGTATGAGCTAACGTAGAAAATAAATTTATTTCATAAATAACTTATGAATTGATCCTCCATAATAGATTTAAACACTTTTCAATTTATTAGCACTGCAATTTTGGAATATTTTTGTTTATTTTATGATAACTTTATTTTACATACTTTTCCGGCTTCTATGTATTGTAAAGTAACACACACAAATTCACACATATACGAACGCAGGAGGCAGCAAATCAACTAGAGGTACTAGCGGGCAAATATGCCAATTGTACAAAATATTTAAATATTCGAAACTTCTTTATACCTTATAAAAGGTAATTTACATTCACTTTGCTATTAAAACTTTGCAAGCATCAAATCACACTTTATACATTTTTTACTTGAGCTGACTTTCTTATTTGCACATCTTTATCTAAGAAATTATCCACCGAACAACTTCACCAACATACGTTTCTTTCGGCGTCGTATTTTGCAATGGCAATTGTTAAAAATGCACATCGAATTGGATTTTTGGACGACAGACCGCAAATATGCAACACTGCTTAATGGAAACCTAGAAATAGTACAGGGTGTACGAATTCATAATATTAGACAAAATACAATAATATTATCTGTTTGATATTCAACGATTTGTCTACAAACATATTCAAAGTATACTTTTATGTCATAAGCAAACTGTTCTTTAAATATATTTCAAAAATATCTATTAATTAACAATGTGTTGAAATATATATCCACATATTTACTCCTATAATGCATGCAACACTGTTTGGTGCATCGTTGCAAATGTTTGTTTATGTCAGCTGTAATCACAAACCACAAGTTCTTTGTTATTATTTGAGTATTCAATTTAATGTAAATACATTTTTTTTCTATTTTAAATCACTAAGATATAAAAAATATCATATCAAAATGTATTGCTCATGTATTTCTGCATTAATATTTTTTCTCTTAACACATATATTACACGCATTGGCGGAAAATGTAAGTGTCCTTTTGGATAGTGAATGTTTTCCGACGCAAATATTTTGTTTACAACATTTTCTTTAATTTGAACTAGATCTGCCATAAGTATTTGCGTGACTTAGCTCAAAAACAGAGCGAATTCGTACAGTGTTCCACAATGCATTCGGTACCAGTGCGTCTTTGTGTTGGATGTGAAGAGCCATTTACTGAGATGCATGTGGCTTACATGAACTTACGGCAGGAACAGAATTGTACAGATACATTTTTCGATAAAGATCGTATAAATATTGTTTCAACAACACAATCGATACTTCGCGGTATATGGAGGAAAGCATACTGTGATGGTTAGCATAAAGTTAACTATTGTGTTTTTTTTTATTGTTTCTTCAATACATTTCAGATTGCTTTACCAGTAATAATTCATACGTATTCGATTTAAAGCGAATTGCATTTGATGATTGTATAACAAACCACAAAAGTAGTGAATGTGCGTCGTGCTTATCTCAATACCTCGATTTGAACCGATTTTATCTTAGTTTAGATAAAAATAACAATGGACAAGTTTGTTATGACATGCAAGATTCAGTAAGAGCTCAACTTAATTATTTGTAACAAATATACCAAGTTGTACTACATATGTAAAATTATATTTGTTGCTAGATGAATCGGACAAGAGAACAGTGGTCTAAAGATTTGGGTTGCTGTCATCGTGAATTTAATATTTTTTTATTCGCTGTTGTTAGTTGTATCATTGGGACATTACCGTTAATATTTTATGGCACGCTGTATGCGTTAACAAAACGACAAGAGCGTAGTCGTATTCTAGTTGAAGGTAAATTATATCAAGTGGTTCTTAATTTAAATGCTATTTTTACAATCATTTAATAAATAGTTTAAGATAACCCTGACCACAAAAATATATATATTTTTTGTTATATAGACACTTATCGAAATGGAATTTCAACTTTTATCAATACAAGCAGTTCAGCTACTAATTTGCCAACCACAACAGAAGCTACACGCTCTCACGAGCATTCCTAAACGGACGACATCCGCTGTGAAGGATATAAACAGGCTATTTTTACAATTTCGAAATATCATATTTAAACGACAAACTTAAATTTATAATTGTTATTTCTAACATTTAGGATAGTAATAAATGTATGTATATAAAACTTTAGCAAATATATATATTTTTATATGGTATTTTGTAAGTGTGTATGTAACTAAATGAATTATTTGTTTTTTAACAACAAAGGGAAAACTGCACTTTTCAATAATTCACTTTGTTTACATTTAACAGCTGATTGTGTTTTTTTATGCTGCTACAAATACAACAAAAATTATCAATAAAAATATGGACGTCGATTATTTTAGATAATCAATGGTGTCATGATAAGGCATTTGAATTAAACTGCGGATAGATTTAAATGTAAATGAGTTATCCGATTTTTACTTAACTGGTTGTAAATAATTCCGATACGAATTAATTGAACATCATTAGGGTTTTTCAAATAATTTTATATGTAGCGGCAAGTAACAAATTGATATCGATAAATTACTCAAAATGCAACACTGATCCCTGCTGTCAGTTGACAAAAAAAAGGAGTATTAAGTGCATATTTTAATGCTGTAAATTCCCTTTTATGTTTTGAAACTAAAATGTGTTTCTTCAGTATTTTATTGAAAATAACCGTTCTGTTATTTGTTGTACAACATGTCCTAGCAGAGAATGTAAGTTTTTAATGTTGCATTTCATATTTTCTATTAATATAAATGTTTTCACAATTGCATTGTATGACTCAGATATGTACCAAATATCTTCGTGAATTAGCTCAAAAACAAAGTGCATTCGTGCAATGTTCAACACTGCATTCAGTGCCGGTGAGCCTTTGCATAGGTTGTAAGGACCCATTTAAAGAAATGCAATATGCATATTCGAAAATGCGCGATGTACAAAATTGCACAGAGACGTTCTTTGACAAAGATCGCATCAACATTGTTTCTACAACACAATCGATACTAACCGGGTTATGGACAAAGGCTTATTGTGATGGTTGGTACATGTGCTATAATTAAAATGATCCAAAAACATTCTGGTGTTTTTAATATTATCCAGATTGCTTTGCTAAAGATAATTCGGAATTATTTAACACAAAAATAAACGATCTGGAAACTTGCCTGCGTGAGAACAAAGGTGAAGAATGTGTTCTCTGTTTGGGCAAATATCTGGATCTAAATGGATTTTATGTTGGTTTGGATAAACATAATAATGGACAAGTTTGTTACGACATGCAAGATTCGGTAACAGCATTATTAATTTTTCAAACTATTTTTTTATAACTTCATATTTTTATCGCCTATAGATGAATCGAACGAGGGCACACTGGTCTAAAGATTTAAATTGTTGTCATCGTGATTTTAATATGTACCTCTTTCTTGTTACTTGCGGTATTGTAGTCCTACTCCCATTAATATTTTATAGCACCACATATACTATAACGAAACGACAGGAGAGATACCACGATATTTTAACTGAAGGTATGTAATCATAAATTGATTCACAAATATTTAGTTTTAGTGCAGAAGATATTTTATCTTCACACTTACACAAAAAATTGGAAATTTAATTATTCTTTCAAATTTATGATGCGCATATTTTATATATTTCAAAAGTTCTGGTAAAATTTTTTCTCTTATAGACACCAGACACAATGCCCCATCTACAAGTGTCATGGCCAGTAGTTCCGTCGCTGATCTACCAAGTACATCATCAACGGCAACCTGTCCACGTATACCTTCAAAGAAGAACATAATAGATATTGAAGAGTATACATCCTCCGATGATGACGAATACGCGGAGGCAACGATCACAAAAAAATCGTAATAAAATGGAATAAACTTAAATGGTTATATTATTATTATTATAAGAGACCTTAAAATGTTGAGTTCGGAGCATTTAAAACACACTTTTAAATTTTATATATCAAAATAAAAATTTATTAAAAAATTAATTGCACCTACAAAATATTGAGACTCCATACATGGGTATAATAAATTATCACATTTGCCGACGCAAAATTTTCGACGCTTTCCTTTTGGACCAGAAGAGAGGCGCTGAAAAGAAAAGAAAAAATGTGTTTCTGGTCTAAGTTGCGGTCCGCGGTCTAGTCTTTGTGTTACGTCAATGTCTACTCTTTTCTTTCATAATGACATTGAGTATTAAAAGTACCCGTTATATGGTAATTTGAGATGAAGCTACTTTCAAATGAGTAAGGTAATAGGAAATAATTGCAGCTCCAAAACCGTAAAAGCGCGCTTAGTGTTGGATATAACAAATCTTATAGACTGCATATGATTTTATTTTGACAATAGATAAGTGGGAATAATTCAATTAAATTTGAATAGGGTATATTAAGTTTGCTAGGAAGTTTTTGACACCCAGTAGGAAACGTCGGACACTTTATGAATTATATATATAAAATATCAGCATCAGCATTGAGTCGATTTAGCCACATCCGTCTGTCTATATATACGCGAAATAGTCCGTTTTCCCTTTTACCTTTATTCAAATTTTTCGGAACCGTCGACATTGGACCATTAAAGCGTTAGCTGTCATACAAACTGAACGATCAAAATCATGTCCTTTTATGGAAAAAATGTTTAATTTGACGACACATCTTCCCGAAATCTGGCACATATTGTTGTCCAAGGTAAGGGTGATATATATGAAGATATTGTTCATATCGGATGGCTATAGGGTATAGCTACTATATAAACTGATCGATCACAATCCAATCCTTGTATAGAAAACTTTTTAATTTGACGAGATATCTGCACGAAAGTCGGCACACATTATTATGCAAGGTAACGGTACAACAGCCAGAGAAATTGTTTAGATCGATCATACAAAATAAAGATATCTATTTTTTATACCATTTTATGCTATAAGAAATGCATCTATGAAGGGTATTATAGCTTCGATGCAACCATGGTTAATGTTTTTTCTTGTTTTTATTATGTTGGGCAGATTTGATTTGTTTTAACAACACAAAGTTTACTTTTTTAGTTTTTGTTGCTGCGAAATTCGGTCCCATGAACTTAGTTGATGTTACTATCAAATTATTGCTGCATTATACAGGACACAGGAGTGTCAAACTCAAACAGCTTTTCCCATAAGCATGGTCTGCAAGGTCTGAAAGACAAGAATTAATTTAATTAGAAAGCATAGATACAGTTGGTTCCAGACAAATTTGGTTTATGGTGCGTTATGTGCTGTAAGCAATGCGGAAACTAGAAAGGACTCAAAAGCATTATGCTCGAATCCCGTTAGACATATTTATGCACTTAACTCGTTAAACTCGAGTACGAAGCATTTTGTAGTTTTTCGTTTCAAGCACTTCATTTTCATGTTGTCTAAACCCAAGCGGAAAAGTTCTTATAAATATATGTATATGTATGCTATATTGGGTTGACACATTCACTCCAAATCAAATTTGAATAGGAGAAGGAGATTGATGAATAATAACTAGTTGTGTCCAATAGGCTTTGTTATTTTCTTGAATGCGGAAGTGACTTCAGCAAAATAAGGTATGGCAATAATATTGTCTAATCTTCTCAACACAAACACTATATTTCTTTTGCCACTTCAATTTTGTCTAGCTGAATGTTGAAATATTTTATTATTTTTATATTTTTTGGATAACTTGCATTTGAAACACTGCACACACTTTTGCTTCTGATTTCATTTTTAAATTTTTTTCATTTAGTTTGATGTAACTGATTTTTCTTCTTTTAGCACTATTTATTATTTGGAAAGCAGATATATTTCAAATAGTTTTAATGGGAATGGGTAAGGGTAAGCGTCTTTACTTTAAACCGGTCAAAAGCAGTCCATATTTTCACAACAGTTCGTGTGTTTTCTTCTATTTTCGAAAACATTGCAACCTCTCCGCCTTCGTTCAGCAAATAAAGTTCACATATGTATGGTTTTGTTTATATTTTTACGATACGTTTATAATTATAACTATGATTTAAAATTATATAGTATGTAATGCATTGTATTTATAATTGAAAAAGTTTGTCAACTTTTCATTCCTTTTACCATGGAATTGCATTTGTTGTACAGCGACACAGTGTGTTATAATTTAATCATGTACTTTTTAAAATTAACTTTAGTCAATAATATATATCTTTTCTTTTATAATTTATGCGAACAAAACTGAAGTAATACATTTATTGATATCATTTTCATAATTTGGGACTGCAAGTACGATATTTGTAATAAAATATGTAAATATTTAACAATGCCAGCAATGATGTATTAAGAACTGAGGTTTTTGCATTGCAATTTAAGTTTAATAACTTTAGCATTCGAGTTAGAACGGCAAAAATGGCTGTTCATTGAATTCATATAAATAAAATGTTTTTTAACATTTTTTTTTTGTTGCTTTTTTTGATTTTCACTTGTAATCCCAATTGAAAAACGAATGACTTATTGCTGAAAATATATGTTTCGACTAAATTAGTTGTTAATGATAAAACAACTAAAAAGTAATTAACATATGCGTCATTTTTTTGTTTCTATCGATGTCTATATGACCTTTTATGATTTAATACATATACACTTTATATTCGAGGGATTTTAAAATCCCTTTGTATGTTTAATTTTTGCCTAAACTTGCAATCACTTTACCCGGTATTAATTAATTAAAAGAGCGTTATATTTAAGATCTTAGTAGTCGCACTTGAATATGTTACTCGCATGCAGCTCAAAACCTCACTCGTTTTCCGACACACATTCATTCCGATTATATAGTTCGAACACGAAGAGGTTACGGGGTGCATTTAAAGAGGTTCATTATCGGGATATTATTTTTTTTTTCAAGAATTTCGACGCACTTTTTCACACAAAACCTTCATCAATTTTGCTTTCTTTTGTGGGTTTCGCATTCACAATGGGAGGACGTTTATAATCGTCTGCCCGTAAATACTTCACTTTACACCTTTGTTGCGTATGTTACATTTATAGACACATTGTTGTTTTAACGTCTACCATCACGATAATTACGCGCTCCACCGCTGCTGCCACCACCAGCACGGAAATGTCTATCGTTTCCACCGCTACGTGATCCGCCACCACCTACACCGCCGCTGGGTCCACGATAGTCACGACCACCAGCTCGTTCACGTGGACGCATCATATTTGAGTTGTTGGAACGTTGGCTGCTGCTACGAAAACTGTTAGGGCCACCTGATGTGTTGCCTGCATTAATAGCATTAGTAGAACTTGAAAAACCACCACCACCTCCGACAGAGCTGGAGCCCCCAATACCACTGTTACCGCCATTGGAAGCTGACGTCCCAGCACTGCTGCCAAAACTCGGGAACCCTGGTGGCATACCATCTGGTAGAGTGGGTAAACCGGCATTTTTCCAAGCTGCGAAGTCTTCATAGGATGGTGCTTTGTCAAAACCAGGTGGTGGAGGCCTGATTGGTTGAGGTGGAGGATAATCTGGCAGTGGTGGTCCATCATAGTAACGCACTGGTGGAGGTAATTGGTCGTACATTGATGGCGGACCTGGTGGCGGTAAGGCACCCGAGCCGGAAGCAGAAAGTGGAAGTTGCGCAAATGGCGGTACGAACGGTAACGGAGGCAGTTGTCCATGCATAGAGCGCATGTAATCAACCATGTATGCTTCGGCAGAATTCATATACCGATCCCATGATGGCAAACCGGTATCGCCTCCACCTGCGCGTGATCCTCCACTTCCACCCGCACCAACGCTACCACTACTGCGGTATGGTGAGGATGAGCGTTTAAAACCGCCACCCGGTGGCATTCCGAGGGGTGGAAGTTTATAAGGGCGATGTGGTCCGGAACTAAATGTACGCCTATGTCGCATTGGACCACCACTACCACCAGCTCGACGGTCGCTTTGGCGGTAGCTGGGAAAACCACTGCCACCACTACCACCACCGCCGCGACTACCACGTGAAGATAAACTTCGCGGTGGTCGATAGGAGACACGAATTCCTTTTTCACGCATCATCTTAGCAGTTTCTTTCGATTTTCGTAAGATAGGTGTCATTTCGATTTTCTCATCTTCTGGGAATAAGCGACATAGCTCTGAGCCTACTTTGGGTTCAATTTCTTGACCATCACGTCCAATTTTAACCGGCTTACTCTCATTCCACGTATTGTATAGGTGAGAAGTACAGTTAAATGACAACTCTTTTCGGCATATCCAATCCAACTCAATGATACCTCCGAGGGCCTTTGGAGAGATGCTAGGTGGTAAAACCCATGCCGGATGAGAAAGATCTCTACGTGACTGGGAACTCATGCGGGCAAACCCAGCAAATTTTCCTATAAATTTGAAACAAGACAAAAAAAAACTTAATATTATTAAGACTGTTAAAAAAAGTCAAAACTCGGTTGTTTAGCAAAAACGAACTTTTTTTAACATAATGTTGCAATGTTCAATGACCATGGTGTGATTTATGTACTTTATATGATACATAAAGCGAAACATTGAATACTTGTAACCATAAAAGCAAAATAAAAAAATTACTTTATTATGAGTTAGCATGATGACTCACCACTTTCGTTGACGGAGAAGATTAATAAAACATTCCGGGATTCCTTGAATGCTTGATTGAGATTTGCTTCATTTTGTGGTAATGTAGCCCAAACATTTTTATTTTTTGCAATGGCAACATTATCTGCATTGTTTGATTTTATAAGGAAAAAATGAGTACCTCGAAACAAGTAGTTCAGTTTAGTCATATAATCATACGATTTGCCACCAGTACCAGTATTCGAACCACTTTGTGTTTTCTTTTCGGGAGAAGCACTCTTAGATATCGCTTTTCGTCCATTACGTTTAATATTTGCTGCAGAATCAGAGTCCTCTGATTCAGAATCGCTGTCAAATGGTGTTTTCGTTGTAGGCTTGTCTTCTGCATCACTGGCTTCACTTTTATTACCACTGGTATTGGCGTGTGCCGATACAGACCCACTACTTGTATTTGCCGGCCCATTACTATTGGCTACTGAAGCAGTCGAATTTTTGCTAGAACTGCTAGCTTTTTTTTGCGATTTCTTTTCTTTACTGCTGGTACCTTTACTCTCTGAAGTTTTAGTTGACGATTCGTCTTTATTTGATGATTCTTCGTTACTTCGTTTTTTCTTACCAACGACAGAATTCTTTCCGTTCACAGTCCCGACCGCCGGCGAAGATGTGCGCTTCGTAGTTGCTTTCTTCTCATTCTCTTTACTAGCTTTTTTTTTGGTCTTATTTTTACGTTTTTCACCGATGGACGATATAGTCGTACTCACAGAACTAATACTAGGCTGGGAGACCGAAGACTCCGAACCCGATTCTGACGCCTCGCTCCTTGTGTCAAATGAATCGTCAAAATCTTGTAGCTCTTCGGCTATATCTGCTTCATTTTCGTCTAATCCTAAGTGTACTGCGTCCAAGTCAGCCATAATTTTCATCTGTTTTCCACTATATATGTAGCGCAGTCTGCGCTTATGCTTTGCTTCAATGAATGTATTTCTGCTTCTGTAGACAGTACGAATATGATGAAAAGAAATACGAAAATTTGAGGCGATGCCGACTTTTTCACAATTCACTGTTCTTGGCGTATTAACTTACCTCAACTTATTAGTTCCTTTAAAGAAAATATTCAATAATCGTTTTTTTCGTAATATTGTAACACTAATAGTTATTTTACTTATTGATTTTTGCAATTCAACGTGGAATGAAATTTGCATATACCTCAAAGATTTGTGGATAATTTTCTTCTTTCTTTGACAAACTCAGCAATGGTGGATGAGTGAAAAGTAATACGACGCCTAGCTAACCATCTCATTCTAAAAGCGCACTGTTGCATTGAAAAATCAAATTTGGTATGCGTTTTAAATGTTAGGCGGCGTATATTTTTCAATTAATAATACACACACGTATGCATATTTAAAATAATTTTTAGTGATAGTACATTTTATTTAAGTTGTTAAATTATCTAGTTCTTTGTACAGGAATGATCATTTATATTTCTTTTTTATTCATCAGGATTTATTCATAATTCCTCTAATTCGCTCTATTTTTCTCGCTTATTCGCCGTAGTTATAACAATTAAGCGAATTTGCCGGGTTGTTGCAAAACAGCTGAATATGACATTTCAAAATAGCTCATTTCTTTAAAATGTGTTTACATTTATGAAATATTGTAAAAGGACTCAGTAATTAATAATGAAGTTTAATTTGGATCAGAATCTAACCGTGTTACCTCTACACATAATTGAAGAATTCACATTTCAGAAATGCTTGCTGCCCAAAAAATTGTTTATGAAATACGGCTTACATACAGGCGCTTGGATGAAATGCTCGGTGGAAGGAACTAGCTTCCACACCAGCTTTTTTCTATGTCAAGTTTATCCTCGAGATATTAATGTAAATTGTTGTTATTTAGACTATGGTGTTGGCACTGCATCTCTTTTAGAAAAGGGATGCATGTTATGCAGCCTAGAAACAATAGACTTTCAAGAAACAGATATAGAACAGGTTACTATAACGTTGGAAATCAAAGAAAGCTTCTTCAAAAGTCGACTTCGCAAGTTATCTACAAGCATGCTGACTATCGCCATGAAGCAGATATTAACACCACTTAATTTGTTTGTAGGGAGCGTTGTGCGCACTAAAATTTGTGAAAATTTTGGAATATCTGCTATCTATATTGACTCATGTATAAATGCAAATGAAAACACAATTTTCCAATTGAATAGTCAAACAAAGTTGTGTTTTAACAACATATATATGGGTGGCAAATCGAATGCATCGGTGGTAATGCCATTTTTCGAACATGGCTACGAAGGCGTTTGGAAAGAAATTGAAGATTTATTGTGTAATAGCAGGCTACGTAGTACGCAAATCGAATCTAATAGTATACGCCCGCATCTAAACGCCCTACTTATCGGTCCACCAGGTTGTGGCAAAACAGCCATACTGAATGCATTTGTCGAGAAGCATAAATGCAATTGTTTCTATATTTCCACGGAAAATATTTTACAAGAGTATCCTGGTGATGCCGAAGCACAATTGCGTAAAGGATTCGAAACTGCTTTATATTTAACTACAAAACTGAAATCTAAAAGTAAGTAAGAGCAGATATTAAGCTTTTGTTCTAAAAATAAATCAATCAAACCATTTATATTTTCAGATCCTACCGTAATTATCTTCGAAAATATTAACTTGTTATGTCCCGTCTCGAATAATGCATCCACCAAAGATACAAGCAACTCAAATCTTATATGCGTACAATTGGTTAAGCTACTTGACGAGCTTCATAATTCGAATGCTAATATATTATGTATAGCGACTACATCAAATCCAAGTACCATAAATGCCAGCGTACGTCGACCTGGACGCTTCCAACATGAAATCATCATTGATTGGCCAAATGAACAGACACGCAAAAGTTTATTTAATGCAATGTTCGAGTTCAGTCAATCAAAACCATTTCTGAAGCCAAAGAAACTTGACGTGGAACTACTCGACTTAGTCGGCAAAAGTACACAAGGCTTCGTCGCAGGAGATCTGGCGCTATTGGTACAAAATGTAGAACAAAATCAAGTAAAGCAAGGAAAAGAATACGACATTGCACATTTCGTAAAGTCGGCACTAAAAAGCGTAATTAAATGTAATAAGTAATCTTGGGGCATAATAAAAATTCCATATTTGCTTATTAGGTAAGACCTGCTGCGATGCACACGGCCGATGTTAGAGTATATAAATTTTTGGACGGTTTCGAAACTATCGGTGGTATGGATAAGCTTAAACGTACGTTGGAAGTTAGTATTTTGGCAGGTCTGCGTAAGCAAGAAAAGTTTAGAAAATTCGGTCTAAAATTACCAAAAGGTAAATTGAAAACTTTGTTTCATTGTAGATTGTAAATAAATTTTATTTTCTTTTTAGGCTTACTGCTATATGGCCCTCCGGGTTGTGCGAAAACGACTTTTGCGAAATGTCTGGCCAAAGAAGCGGACATGACGTTTATTTCCATAGCAAGCGCAGATGTTTACTCGCCTTACGTTGGTGCAGCAGAAAAGTTTATTGTACGAATTTTCGATACCGCACGAAAAAATGCACCTTGTTTAATATTTTTTGATGAAATCGGTAGGTGAAAACAAAATTTTGGTTATATGTACATATATTGTATATACATATATGTATATTTATAAATTTTCATAAATTTTTTTCATATCAGATACGCTGGCCGGTCGACGTCCCATTAGTTCAAATAGCTCAAGTGATGTACAGGTACGTATACTCTCAACTCTATTGACTGAAATGGATGGTGTTATAGACGATTCGGATGAGAATAGCCAGCAAATACTCGTCGTCGCAGCTAGTAATCGGCCAGATATGATTGATGACGCCCTATTGCGGCCTGGCCGTTTAAGTAAACATATATATGTGCCAGCACCCGATTTACAGTCGCGTATATCCATTTTACAGTTAATTGCCAAACGTATGCCTTTTTCAGAAGATGTTAATGTAATTAAAATTGCCGAAGGCACAAAGCTTTACACAGGCGCCGATATGTGTAATCTTTGTAATGAGGCTGCATTGTTAGCTTTTGAAAGATTGAGTGCGGAAAGTAGTGTAGAGGATTATAAAATTAACGCGAAAGAATTCGATTTCGCTTTAAAAAATTCGAAATCGTCACTCTCGATAAATCAACTGAGCTTGTATGCGAATTTTCAAAAAAAAAGTGAGACTAAATAATGAGAATAGCTGAATATGTTGTAATTGAATTGCTTTAACAAACATGTATGTAAATACTTTTATATTGGTATTTAAAATAAATGCTTGAAAGTGGGAGTTGTTCACTTCGTCTTCCACGTTAATTAATAAATGCATGCTTTTAATATAGAAATAATTTTGTAGAGAGACGTTCAAAGTTTATAACAATAATATAAACATATAAGTGGGTTTGTACCAGTTCTTTTGATTAAAATATTGGAAATTTGTTGTAAAAAATACATTTTTGTTGCAATATAGCATAACCTATTTTGCAAATATTTCTATAAAACTTTAATTAAATGCGAAAATGTAGGTTATGTAGTAGGTATGTTTTACTTTACATTGTATTAATATTCGATGAATTATAAGTTTTTAATACATAATTAATAACTATTTGTCCAATTTAATTTTTCCTATCCAATGTGTATTAAAAATACGCTAATATTGTACTTGTAGTTGCAAACATACATATGTTCACACTAGAGCGCTCGCTTAGCATGTGAGAGGTACGGGGATCGATGCCCCGCATCTCCATCTTTGATGTGATGTTGATTTTTTATAAAAAAAAATAGTTTTAGTTTATAAATGATAAAAAAAAAAAAATTAAATAAATTTAGTTCAATAAAAAAACATAAAATAAGGTAAAACCTTAACTTCGGCTACGCTGAAACTACAAACTCTCGGTCAGTTTGTATGGCAGCTATATGCTATAGTGGTCCTATCTGAACAAATCGTTCGGAGATTGTAGCGTTGCCTTTGACAATAATCTATGCCGAATTTCGTGTAGATATTTCGTCAAATAAAAAAGTTTTCTTTACAGGGACTTGAGTTTGTCCGATTACTTTTTATGGCAGCCATATCCTATAGTGGTTCGATATCGGCTGTTCCGCCAAATGAGCAGAGTCTTGGAGAGGAAAGGACATGAGCATAATTTCAGATTAAAACTAGTAACTGAAAAGAGTTACGGAACGGATGACTAAGTGAAAGTATAGTTCTATCATTTCCGTATGTAAGAGTGAACAGTCTGAAGAATATTGTGGGGCTTAATCACGGTAAAATATTCTGCTAACTATACGAAGTATTGAGCGGCTTGAAAAGGAATCCCAAAAATGCTTGAGCTTTGAAATGAAACAGCAAACTCAAACAATACAAATATCTGAAACGAATGGAAATGTGATGAAAACCCCAGGCAATTCATAGCGCAGGAAAACTCGAAAGAAATTAACTATATAGAGTAAAACATCAAAAGCTTGGACTTTGAAAACGGCTCCTATCTATCCATTGAGATAATCCTGCTAATAAAGGCACACCTGCAGTGCTCTGCTACTGGACCAAAGAAGATTGTAAGAGATCTAGTGAGCTATTCGCCTTCAAAAAGACCGGTTATAGTACTAAAAAAACATATTAAGTTCATTGTATTTTTAAATCACCAAATGATTTGCAAATCACAAAATCTAACAACAATAGGGAACAACGCGAACGTGTCGCATAAGAATTTTATGCGAACGCTCTAGGGAAATATTGGTAATGAAATCTTAGAATCGAAACTTCTAAGTATAAGGGGTTTCATTATGGAATACTGAAAAGTATATTTACAACTAGGAACTGACTAGACGTTTGCTGAGACGATTCTAAAAATGATGGTTAAAAGGTTACAACAATCATTGTTTCAATTAATAAAAAAATAATACTGGTCTAGACGAAAGGAAAGAGGAACTTCAGTAATGAGTAAATATTGTGAGCATGGCACGTCACCAAACTCACACCCACTTTGCAAAATCTAGTACGATAGGTGCGACTTACCGTGCGTGTGAAAACACTATTGTCTCATAGCTACTCTCCTGCCTATTCCTCTGTATGATGTATGTGATTGCGTTTTTGTTATCCATATATCTAGTTACAAATTTAATCACCCATACTCAAAAGAAAAAAAATTGTAAATATAATGAGACTTAACTAAAATTGCAAGAGATGAGGTCAAAAATTACATAAATCCATATAAACAAGAAAAAACGTTAACTTCGGTTGCACCGAAGCTGTAATACCCTTCACAGATACAAAGGTTCCTTACAACAACTTGATTCCGATCTAATTTCGTGAAGATGCCTCGTGGCAAACTTAAAATACCCCGTTTAGGGTATAAAAAGCAATGCATGTAGGAAAATGAGTTTGTCATGATTTGGATGTACGATGTATTTCTTCTGCAGATGGTCAGCACAAAGCACAATACTAATGAAACTGCTCTAGGAGACTGAACTCGGCCGCAGAGCATTCAGCGAAAAAACAGCCGTAGGAAAATCTATATTAGAATTACACTGTGCTACAAGAATTATTTTGGTAGGAAATTGAGCAGTAACATCCCGTTGCATTTAAAAATACTCACACGTTACAAAAGTCGTTTGACCCAGTCTTAACAATTGACTAAGATTGTGGAACAATGTTATAGATCTTTATCAAACGGTAAGGTTAAGAGATAAGGTAAAAGAGTTGACTACGACCTCGACATGTTGCAATATCGATTTTTAAAAGATTAGCGGTAAAATGTAATGGATTTATTGGGTTATAACCATTTATTGTACTAAATTCGATTGGCTAAGTCGAACACTCGCATTCTATTATATTTATTACATGGACCGATATACGAGAGTGGTCCGCTAAGACTTAGATTCACCGTCGATGGCGCCACTAACGCAAGAGGAATTCATGTGAGAAAGTTACTATGTCGATTCGATATCAAATTGCAGAAAGAACTTTCCCATTCGACAGCGAAAACAGTGCTCTTCCACAATGACAAATCATTGGCTAATACCTCGTCCGTCGCCATGTTCAATTTGGTCGAATTGGGTTACTACTACTTCACTACTTTATTCTACAGATTTGCGACTTCTTTTTGTTTCCAAACATGAAAAAGTCACTGACCGGGCAGGAATTTTAATCAGTTAGTTTCAAGAAGTTGGAGCAATGCGTTTTAGAAAATTTTCGTTTTTATGTCATGCGCTAACGATAAACTGAAATAGAGTTGTAGCTAGAAAAAATGTAGTCTAAGAATTTGTTCTTAATAAATATTTTCACTAAAATTAAAAATTCAATTGCTAATATTTGCCTACTTCGTCGTCATTGTCTTAAAATAAATGCTCTAAAATATGCCAAGTATTTCAGAAATAAACCCATTGCTCACTTACTAGCTTCGCTAATGCGCTTAAATATGTTATTCCTTTAATATTTGGCATACATTTTCAGATGATAAGGGAATTATTTATGGTGCGGACAATTAGAAATTTTTCAAAAAGCAAAAATATATTTATTTATACATGCTGCATTTGCAAATCAGATAAAACCATATACCGTAACAAAGGCAACAAAAAAGAATTCAGTTAAAAGGTGAGTTAAGTTCTCTAAATTGTCCGTCCATAAGTCGAATAATTCTTATACACATGCATATATATGTACATATGTACCATACATGCACGCGGTATATTTAGTGGCGGTTGGTCAACCATAAAATTATGGACGCCGATCGAAGGAGACACTGATAAGATAAAGAGTACTGCTTTTGTGTCTTAACTAATTCATATGTATGAAATTTCAATGTTAATTTTTTTCTGGTAGCCGAAAAAAGAAACCCATATCAATTGATAGCACATATTTCAACCGATATATGTTAATATGTACATAGGTATTTATAGGGTAGTTCCTAAACAGCGTAGTTCAAAGTTGTGGTTAGTGTTTAATTTTGAAATATATTTAAGGCTTTATTGATCATAGTTAGAATGATGATTTGGGTCAAATGCATCAATTTGTTCGATAGCTTCCTGCCAATTGGCCGCCTTCTGCGGTATTACTTCCTTCAGACAGTCAAATTGTTGACAGTACAGATTCGAATTAAGAGTTTGGACGTAGGAGACTAGCTAATAGAAGATGCTTCTCTGCCAATGCCATTAAACACTTAGCAAAACCTTCCTGACCATCAATACTGAATTGGCCACCGTTTGCGCCAACTCACCGCGATTCGTCAACGACCGTTTTCGCTTTACCTACCTACTTTTCATCACTAGTAACTATCCGCATCAGAATTGAATTGGATCTTGTTGCGATTCAGCAGCTATTCGCAGATGGAAGTTCGGCCCTTTAGGATTTTTATGCGTTAACTCGGCACTTATTTTTGCATGCAGCTTTATATAAGCGGTTCTAAACGATTTTTTGTACAATGTTTACCTCATGGGCAACCGAAACAGTGCTTACGTGGCTGTCGAATTCGACGATTTCCAATATTTGATCGATATTTTCGATAAGTGGCCTTTCAGAGCGAGCTGCATCTTTGACATAAAAATTACCGAACAGTATCCATTTTTGAAGCTAGCTCAAGCAATAACGAGTCAAGCAATCACAAAGATTCTGAAAAGTTTTTTTGAGTACGAAATCTTATCTCTCTAACTCCATTTAGCGATCCGATACGAGATACAGATTGCTAAAGCCATCTATTGGAAAAATATTGCATTTTTTTTACTAGACCTTTTATGTTAAGCATGTCAGAGTCTAGTTCGGATTTAGAGTCCTGAACGAAGTTGTGCAAGGGTTACTCAAGCTCTTGTTTCGACATCATCTACTGTTAATGGCGTTTAGTCTCTGTCTGAAATTGGTACCGTTCTAGTTTTGGTCGATTAAATATTTTATGCCTTCAACGTACTGAAGAAAAACCTCTTGCTGTTTAGTGGTTTTTTTTTTTTGAACTGTTGATGAAAAGATATCACACCGAATTTTTGTCAAGATTCCCTACCGGAAAGAGAGTTCACTATTGAAATAATATTATATAAGTAAAAATAATTACATTTTATGGACCACCTTTCTAATATGTGTACAAGCATGTATTTTACATACATAACTTAGCGGTAAGGACACAATTGAAGCGTAAAAACACAACAACACGCTGATAACTGCTGATAACAACGTTCAACTGATAACTGTTCGAGAAATTATTTTCTATAATCGTCATCAGCTCACCACTACCAATACAGTTCGCCAAATTGTTTGGTTAAAGAAAGAAAAAACAAACGATATTGAGCGAAAATCAAACTATATTCAACACGTACACAACTACAACGATATAGACAGAGCATAAATATAAATATATACCATACACATTTACGTATTAAAAATCGTGCAAATGCCTGTATGTGGGTACCTAGTAACCCCTACCCACCAACCCATATTTTGCAATGCCTTTATAAATTTTATTTGTTACTTTCTTTGAGCGCCTCTCCCAAGCATAAAGCTACACCTACACACACACACACACACACGCACACACACATTCTGGGCGCTCAATACTCTAGGTTCTGGCTAATTATTATTATTGCCTTTTTTTTGTAAGGCACTTTGGCAGTTGGCACACACCGTAATTCACCTGTAGCAGCTCTGGCTGTGGCCCGTAAAAAGCGAAGCACACGTAACAGTTCAAAAACGAATGCGCAACGAAAAAGTACAACAAAACGCGCTTTTCCATTAAAACACATCCCTCGCATTGTTGTTGTGGTATTGTTTAGGTACTTTTTTTTTTTCATCCACATTTTATATCGCGACCTTAGTTGCTTAGAGGCGTACGAGTACGTTACAGGAAGCAGGCGGGTGTTAAAGGCGGTATGATAAATACAGTATTGTCAAATCGGGAAACATACGAGCGGCTTTTATACACTATAAAGAGTCGCACAATTTGCGCGTAATCGAATTCTGTTGATTGCAAAACTATTATAAAAATTAAAAGAAAAAATAATTTTTTTATTACACTTTAAGTGCACACATTTAGGCATAGTCGGTGGCCCCTCTTACCAACGAAAAGTAGCGAATGTTATCGAACGCTATTGAATACGAAATTAAGAGTGAAGTGTCGTAATTTAAATGTTCCCTTGATAATAATCACACGATAATTTGAATTTTATGCTCCGGCATCTACCTTCAAACGCGTGTTTTTTTCGAAATTTCATAAATATACATATATACATACAACTTTAAACAGGATTGTGGCTGTGCTTTCCGGGATAGTGGTCAATTGTAACTCGTGATTACGAACAAGTGCAAGATGGCGGCAGGTGGCTACGGCGGTTACGGCAACAGAAATCATATTAAAAATTTTGGCTGTCTGTGGACGATTGTGCTATGGGCTGCACACCTCAGTTTGGTAAGTACAAACATATGTAGATGCATACCGATGCTCAGATCAAATTGTTTCAAGACTCAGTTAAAAAATTGTTTGAGATAAAGAAGGGCGCCCCTGGTGTAACGAAACTTCATTTACCCAAGGTTTTTTTTAATGTAATTAAAGAAATCGAGTAGATCAAAATAATAGAAAAGAGTCAAGTGAAAAAACTTCAGATTGAATTTCAACTGGCAGTAAAGTTAAATTTAAAGCCGTGAATATGGGTATGTTCGCCCTAAGATGAAGTACAGAACCTAACCGAACATGACATTTTTTTTTTCAAAGTTAAAATTTATATTAGTTTTCATCGAAAAAAAAAACAATTTAATTTTACCATAGACGATAGGATATTCGCTTTTGGTTACTCGCACGCTTGTTGTTGTACATAAGGGAGAACTTGAGATTTTTTCGTCTGAGAAGCTCACAGTTTCTTTTTTTTTATTGTATAATATAAGCTTGTCCCACCGTAACCAAAAAAATTAAAATTTATATGAGCAATTGTATCAACTAACAGCTTTTCACTGTCAAAGTAAAAGACGCTGGTTCGAAATCAACGTCGGACCCGATATTTCGTCTAAGAATCTATTTTTGTTGTGCATAATGTAATTAAGAACATTTTTATAGATCTTGTTAATTCGAAACTTAATTACGTTCCTGAGGGTTTGCATTTATTGGCTCTCTAGGGCCCTTCATATAAGGATTTGAAATAGTACATGCTTTTGAATGAGGATAAACAACTGCCGTTGCTTTTAATTTTGTGTTTAAAACTCATGAAATCACACAGAAAATCAAAACACTAGGTTCTAGAGGTAGAAATATTATTAAAATAAGAATGCAAAGAATTCTCGTAAATAATCCGCTTCAGTGAAACAAAAAAGTATACTTTACTCAGGTGGTATCAAAGCTGTCAAGATAATAGGCGCTCTGTGATTACAAAATAATCTGATTTGTGCAGATTTTAATTTTGGCGAGGTAATCTCACGGAAAATATAAGTTGTGAAGTAATGTTTCACCGTACTTTCCATTGTACCTTTACCAAAAGTTTTGTATTTTCAGAGGCACTAAAGCAGATTTCAAAGGTTGTAAACGCTTATGCAGTTAAACTGAAACTAATATATTTAATGATTCTAGTAACTCATGAAGCAACTTCAGTGAAGAAAGTTATAATGATAAATATGCATTTATAGGCAAAATTAAAAGTAGAAAAAATATTGATTATTTTATCTTCAGACTTATCAGTGCACTAGAACTTCTGTTGTTTATTTGGTGATTAATAGCAGTACCTCTGTTTTTTTAATATTTTATTTTTAGTTTAATTGAACTTTTTTAATGCAATAACAGGTAATGAATCATTGATAACTGCAAATACAAATGTAATTGCAATACTATCTCCAAATACTTTATCATGCCAAAAATGTGACTAAGAAACCTATTATAGAAGCTACAACTAGTTTTTAAAAACAGTGAAGAGCTTGCCACTTATCAAGAAAATCAACTCAGCGCTTGAAAATGTACTTTTGCATTCCTACAAAGATAACTAATTCCACTAACATACACAACGTTATTGTTAATATTTAATTTTGCCCAAAATTGGTTGCCCGAATGAAATTATGCGTAAATATAATAATATAAATAACTTTCCTTGCTAATAAAAATACTTGCGTTAGTAATGGCACTTCATCGGCTTTTAGTCATAAACAAAAGGTGCTAGATAACTTTCAATTGCTGCAACGGCCAATAAAAGAAAAATTATCGCCTAAATAAACGACTGTCATAGTATTGTTATTGCCAGTAAATCCAATGAGCGCGCATGTGAGTCCAATTACTCGATGAGAATTCGTCTTAAATGTGAAATTCTATTTTTGTGAAATTATCTTAAGTTTTTTAGGCATATAATAGCTGGAAAAGGTATATATTTATGGAAAGATGCAATGCTAATATAAAAGAAAGTTTAAAGGTATATAATTTAAAAATGTAATATTTCCCATGGTGAACTTAAACCATATGAAGTAGAAACAATAAACCCTGGTTAATTTCTTATAGAATAAAAGGGTGTAAAAAGATTTTTAACTTGACTTTGATCGGTCAGTTTGTATGGCAGTTATATGCTACAGTGGTCTGCTCAGAACAATATGTTCGGATGCTAAATTTCGGGAAAATGTTGACATCAAATGTTTTGTTGATAATTCGTGATACCTCCCTCTTCCTGGCTTGTCATCTATGCTTCCAGTTTCTTCATAATGATCAGATCACCGCTTCATAACTCGTAACGTTTCTTATACTGAGTACTAATTTTTTTAAATTTCACTGCACCACGTGACACATTAGGTGTTATAAAGGTTCGGTCATGTGCTGTCATCTTTATTACTAAATATTTACAATCAATACAACTAAAATAAATCTCCGCATTCATTTTATTAGTGCTTAGGTAAGGTATGAACTGTTATCACTAATTTATAGTCCCGAATCACGTAATGCTATGAGAAATAGTCTCGCTTAATTTACTTGCCTACTTATCACTATATGAAATCTGATGCAAAACCGGAAGGTTTAAAATCATTATATTGGTTATGTGGGGGCTAGAAAAGGACACTGTTTCGATCTTGGTTAGAATAGAGTTACCACACTTTATATGTAAAGTGAAAAGTTAGCGTAGTGGTGCTAGACAATTAATGCCCTTTTAGGTGTTTACAATATAATCGCCATATGGAACGAGGACGTAATTATTTCCCGATTTCGATCAATTTCACAGTCATGGTCGATTCATTTGCCCGATTTCATCCATCTGTTAAAATATCCAATTTCTTTATTAAGGTATTATTTGCAATTACTGACATCCATACATGACATACATACATATGTATATATGTATATTCATCTAGATTTTGTTAATGTCTCTCGACTCATTTTCTTATTTTGCTATTTGCTAGTAAACACTAAATTTGTAAGCAAAATGTAAATAAATAATACTAAACGTGTGTGCTCTATTTTACGATAACTTCTATAAAAGTGATAAGGTGTTAGTCAAGATAAACTAATTAAAAGCCCAAAATGATTCATAATAAATTAATAGGCGTAGATCGGATGCGTCTACTTAACTTTGGTACGTTTATACAATATAAATAGGTTAATTAAAAAGGGTGATCCATTTTGAAGTTTTCTATTGTACTTTTTTAAAGAAAAAAAACACAGAAAATTCAAATTTAAAGGCTAATTTTTATCATTCGAAAGAACATTCTTTAGCATTTATTTTTTAAAGATTATCTCTTTCAAATGTTGGCTGCGGCTTCGTCTCAATTGATCCATCCGTTGAATCCAATTTTCGATGACTCGTTCGAGCATCTCGACTGCTAACTGTCGAATGACACGCGTGATGTTTCTCTCCAAGGTCTGAATCGAAGCGGAATTGTCCGCATAGACTTTAGACTTTACATATTCCCATAGGAAAATGTGTAACGGTGTGATATTATAAGATCTTAGTGGCCCATCGAACGGCCCAAAACGGGAAATTATCTGCATACTGAAGTGCGATGTTTGGGATGTGGCGCCGTCTTGTTGAAACCACATGTCGCCGAGATCTCGAGCTTAAATTTCAAGCATCAAACCACACCAAACAGTTGTTTTTTTCTGGATGAAATAGCAGCTCTTGAATCTCTTCAGGTTGCTCTTCGGCCCAAATACTGGAATTTGCTTGCTTACATACCCATTGAGCCAGAAATGGGCCTCATCGCTGAACAAAATTTGGCTCGAAAACGTAGAAACTTCTTGGAACTTTTTAAGAGCCCATTAAGCGGAGAAAAGTCGAGGGACTTCAGTTCTTGCACAAGCTGTATTTTGTACGCTTTCAATTTAAGTTTTCGACGTAAAATGCGTCAAGGCGTTCCAAACGTCAGTAAGAAATGCTGCGAACGGTGCCGAATCGTCTTCGTGTACACTCTCAGCTACGGCCGCTATATGTTCTTCACTGCGTGCTGGATGTGGTCTATTTGGTCGAATATTATCCAATAATGAATGCTGGGTCTCAAGATGGGTGATGGTGTTGAGAATAGTAGTATGAAATGTCAAATAATACTGAACAAATATAACATGACAGCTTGACACAACTCACGCGTGAACTGTCAAAATAAGGCTATTGAGAAAAGTACCTCTACTTGGATCACCCGTTATACTTAGATATTTTAAAATATATAGTTAAACTCATAGTATAGCTATGGTATTACAGAGAAGTTTTGCAGTGCCCCGGGCAACGACACCACTAATAGTTTATATGTTTACATGCTGATTGTAGGGATACCTTCCTTTCGTATTATCTAGTAGTAACAACATTATTTTTAGGTAACTACAAAAAGGCGCGTGCAGAAATACATATGTATATAATTGTATTATATAAACATATGTATTATGTACTATAACAATAATCTGCCGTTTGAGTCTCAAACAACTGTACACTTGTTGAATTTGACGTAATCTGTCGATTAAAATGTGTAGTGGTGATTATTTGCATTTATGGAACAATGACAACTAAGGTGTTTTTTTACGTGAGTTGTTTGAATAAAAAAACAAATTTCTGTCATGGGCTAATATACTCGATATAGATTTACGATATGGACACGATTAGTAATGATATTTGTTCTAACAACAAACCGATGAAGTACTTTCTCGCATAATCGGATCAGCTGATCTGGTGAAGATAACCAGAATTTTTAGAGCTGAATGACTTCAAATAAAATGCAAAGGTGTTATCAGAGTCAATGAACTTTTGAGAATCAGGTGGTTCTAAATCATCACTTTGACAGTTCAAAAAAAAAAGAGAGAGATAAAATATTAATTTATAGAAAATAGAATATGTTCTCTGTTTTGTAATGCAGTTTCTTTCTAAAAGTTAATTTGTAATATTTGTTACCGATTACTTTTTCGAAAGTTTTTATTACGTAAGAAAACATGGAAAAAGTTCAGAAAAAGATTGTTGAATCAACTCCGTTCGATGATGCAGATTCTTGACTAAATCAGGAGTAGTTCTAGCTAACTAAATATGTTGAATATATGTTTGAGTTGTTGAGTCTGTAACTACTTCTATATTCGTGTGCTTTGCCAAGAGCTGGCGTAACTTGATTATTATTCCGTTATTTCCATATGTCGAATATACTTGTACGTTGCAAAGCTATATAGCTTATATATCATTAATTTGAAACGTAAACAACAATAATTTTTTACACTCAAATATATCGAACTTTGTGCAATAAAAAGTTTTTTGTGAGGAATTTTTCTTAATTACGTTAATATGTAGAGAACCTCAGAAGAAAGTCATCATATTTTGGACGGAAGTGTATGTTCACCGTATAGCTCTAGCTGAGCGAACGCGACATAAGTGATTTGCACGATTTAAAAGTGGTGATTTTGGTTTGGAAAAACGTCCTGGGCGGCCAAAAAGTTTGAAGTTGAGACTCTGGAAGCATTGCTCGATAAAGATTGCTCAGATGGTTTCAGATGGAAATGCTTTGAAAAACACTATTGTACACGTTTTTCTTAAATAAGCGTTTAAAATTGAAAAAAAAACAACCCAATAATTGTTGGATTCAGTAATAAATATTTATGTTCTGCAGTTAATTTGAAGAATAATTATGTATGTATCTAAATCTAAAACCCAAAGAATTTTTAGATTCTCGCGTCAATTTATATATTCACACAAAATTATGCTTTATGTAACTAAGTAATTTTTTCTTAATTTTCAAACAGATTCAGTCCCTGATTTGGATGGGTCTCAACATAGCTGGAATAATCGCATACACCTGCAATATGCCCATTAATTCCCTATTTACCTATGGTTCACTGATGGAATACGCTTTCTACACGCTGTACTTTAAAGGCAATTGCATACCCTCCGACTATCAGCAGTTCAATCGCACAATGTTGGATTCGGTGTCAACAGTGCTGTCACCAGAGGACATCTTCCTTTGGAATTGCGTATACCTGGCGGTGGCGTTTTGCTGGTGCATTACAGCGTTGTTGTTGTTGACAAGTAAGTTGCACAACTTTCAGTAGCGTTTTGATAATAATAAAGTATTTTGCATTTAGTGGTGAGAAAGGACAATATAAAGTATACCAGCGCCGCCATTTACAGTTGGATCGTGGCGATAGCATGCATAAATTTAATGGACTTGGGATTGGGCATTATATTTGGCCTTGATTTTGGCAAATTCAATCGCGCCGCTTATAATTATAATTTGTCCAGCATGAATGCGGGCGAGATCGATCCACAGGCAGCTCAATTGGTAGCTGGAGGCGTAGCAGCTATATCCTTGATGATCATCTCATTTAAGGGCGTAATTTTGTGGCTGATCAATGTCGGTTTAATGTGTTATCTGCTAAAACTTGTTATTGAAATTGCCTACGATAGGGACAACAATGTGAGTATGAAATTCTTATATGTATTGTATGTTTGTTGAAATTGTCACAAAAAACGTTCCATTGTTAATATTGTCATTAGTACTTCATTGAAGTTTGTTTATTCGTTATTGGTGTCATAAGTGGTCATCGATTCGCTACTTCTCAACTCGCTATTTGAGCAGTAATCTTATATCACAAGTTTACATGTGACAGCACCAACAAAGCGGATACCTCACTAAATTTGTATTGTATAACCACTTGTTATTCCTTCTCTATTTAGAATAATATCCACAAATTGGTTTTCAAGATACTCTCTTTTAATTTAGTCATGATTTTAAAAATACTTAAAACGGTTGTCTACCCAAAATTTAGTACTAGTAGTCTGGAAAAAAAGTTCCGTCAAGCTTTAGACGTTGATAACGATTTAAGATAAATATTTTTTATTTGATAGGCTTTGAAGCAATAGGGACCGACACGAAAAATTATACTATATATAAGAAATCTAAAACTACTCGCAAACTTTTTTATTTTGAACCGTAAGTCTTGCCAAAAAATAGAGAGAAAAAAAGATTACTTGGTTGTAGCAATTGGATTTTATTTAAGTAGTAAGTCTTTTTAAGCTGATTCTGGTAATCTAATTTCAAGAAAATGTGACTCACGTTTCCGTAAACCCAGAATTAAGATATATAGAACAAGGTGGAAGACCAAATTTGTCAAAAATATGATCCATATGCCAATATCTCTCCTTTCTCGTTCTTTGGCTCAATCGATCGTAAATAAACACGTTTCGAACAAATATATTTTCGTCACCCGATTTAGACTATTCAACAGAGCAGTGCTAAATCCATTGGTATTACTTATAAGAAAAATAAATTTGACTAAAACTTTTGTAATCTTGTTACCAACATCTACTACAACACCCTATGTACTTTTACTTTAAATAATAAATACCCCAATATTACCCTATAAAGCATCAAAAGTTTATTTCGTAGGGAAATTGCGATTGCTTTAATGGCTGAATGGCAAAAAATATGCATATGCTTGATTGGTATGTATTGTATTTGGAAAAGTAAATATGTGTTTTGGTAATTAATAATAAAAAGGCTATGATTCTTATAAGTGAATAATACAACAATATTCCGATAACAAAATTTGCTCGACAATAAATATTTGCATTATTAATAGAAACACAACCAATTACAAAAAAATCTACATGTATATCTCCGTATATACATATGATTATACATACATATATGTATATATATACAAGTAAACATGCCTAAATGTATGTATATGTACCTATTTGTATATACTCACCTATGTATGTAAAAGAGTTCGATATTCGCCCAGAATTTATCATTTTATTGCTCTTTTGTGAAAATTACTAAGATTTTTAACTTTACCAAAATTATTTACTAGTAAATTCTTATTCATTATTTCCAAGTTCGCTATTATTTACTCTTTGTTTAACATAATAATAAGTTAACATTTAATAAGTTAAACCAAGGAAGGACGTTAACTTTGGTTGCATCGAAGCTATAATACCCTTCACAAATAGAAAGGATTCTTTACAAGAACTTGATTTTGATCGGTCTGTTTGTATGGCAGTTATATGCTATAGTTGTTCGATATCTTCAAATCCAACAAATAAGCAGCTTTTTGGGGAGAAAAAGACGTGTACGAAATTTCAGATCGATATCTTAAAAACTGAGTAACTAGTTTGCGTACATACAGACAGACGGACATGCCTGAATCGATTCAGCTCATCGTGCTTATCATTTATACGAGTATATTTGTATATATTTTTTAGGGTCTCCCGTATCCTTTAAGGTGTTACAAACTAATTTGGATAAGTTGGTTTATGGATCACCTTATTAAATATGTATATAGAGTATATGCCTGAAATAAAATGAGAACCTTCTATTTTTTATCTATATTTACATACACAGGATACCTTATTCATGCCTCCCATGACAGATAGGGACTCTGATGACATCATATCTAACCGACCGCCGATTAAAGCTTATGAGGAAGAGATGTAAGTATAGCTTATAGCATTTTGTTGTTATTACATAATCTATAATGAAATAATTTAGACTAATTTATGAGAGTAAATCCATCCGTTGAGATATTTAGATGCAGATTCTCAATTTTTTTTAAGAGTCATTCATAGAGACCTTCATTTTTATAACTTCTGTCATAGAGTACAACGCAGGATATCTACTGAGCCACTTGCTCATAGCCAGGCTCATCTTGCCGTAATCGTTGGAGTTCTTACTGTACATTGTCCAAAAGGCATTCAAGCGGTAAGGCTAAAAATCTTTTCGGAGAAAATTTGTCAACATTTTATGGAGGAAGGTGAGAAGGTAGAAACATCCAGACCAGACTCCTCCATTGTCCAGTTTTTGCAAAACTGAGGTTCAAACAACTAGGCAGTAAAACTATCGGCGATACATATATAGTAGTTGTCCAAACTGTCCATGTCAAATCCTTGATGGCTTGTAAAGAGATCGACTCTTTAACCTAACCTTATCCAATCTCATAATACTAGGGATTCACCAAGCTTTCTAATCCACAGGAAGCTATATTATGATCCACCAAAGATATGAGGACATTTTAATGGAGAACTACATAAGATATCTTCACATGTCGATTGTACCTAACACGAGACGGTACCAGGGTTAGGTAAATAAACTTGACGTCCCAATTAGAAAAAAATTGCAACAGAATTGGTAATTAGATAGGTATTGAAATATTGTTATATTTAGAAAACATAAACAGTATATAAGATTTAATTGAAGTCCAAGGTTGCCCAATGGTAGGTTTTTTTTTTAATCGAAAAAACGTATCTAAGATGACAAACTGTAATACCCTATAATTTATCTTAAGTAATCTGCTTAACATTTGTGATTTACTTGTATAAGTACGGAATTTTTAAGTATTTGCAAAAAACATCTAATCTCTCCGTGGTAAAAAATGAAATTATCTATATTGTCATAAGAATCTCAAACGATAAGTTATATCTGATAGCTTTCTTAATAACACTTTAATTTCTTCTTTGTTTCGTCTTCTAAACAGCACCACCAAAGTATACACTAACGAAGCCTTTGTGCCGGACAATCGTTCTGTGGTCACCGTCGAATTAAATCAGGATGCTCTGGCGCGAGCTGCTCGCATGTCGTCCGATATCTTAACGCAGGGATCACGTTTCCGTAATGTAGACTCTTACCAACAGTATCCGTCACCGCCAAATAACAACAACATTTCTGCTAATAACAACAATCACTTCGTCAAAAAAGCGTCAATAAATGATAAAGTTACTATCATAGGAACGGCAAGTTCACCGGACGTGATATCACCCTATCCAGTACCGGATTACACACCACCAATGTCGCGCGCAGCTAACGGTGGAGTACATAATCAACGCTACCAATGAATGAGTGGGTGCCAATGAAGTTCGCTCGAAGAAACTGCATATCTCTTCATTGCGTCAATTAAATTAGTTTAAATTAAGTGCCATCCATTAGCTTCATTCCGTTATAATAATTTAAAATAAATATATGTAAATATGTAGTATGCGTCTGCTCAGCGTTCGATAATCGTTGAACGCCGCCATTGCATCTCGCTCTCTAAATCTGCCTACGCCTTTATATATCATCAATCCGGCAACCACTCCTGCAACTCCTCTGTTTTAAATTCACTTGTTTTCTTCAGCAAATCATAGCTTAACATATGGTATACCTACATAGATGCATACATACAAACGCAACAATGAACCTATTTTTAGAATGTATTTAATTGTATATTTTTATTTATTCAATTGTAAATAAAAAATATACGCTATTGTAAATACTTTATAAACAGAAAATTATTTCGACAATCGGACACAAGGTTTGTATAGCTTTGGAGATACTTTTTTATTATGCTCAAGTCCTCCACCGAATTAATTTTATCAAAAACCAGAAGGTAGTGGATACATATTTAATTTATAAATTTCTCTTCAGCTTACAATGCTACCGTACTTTCCCTTCGACCCCTCAAAACTTGGAAACATTAAGAGATAAGTACCTAAGAGTTTTGTATTGTTAGTTGAGAGATTTGGCTACTTCTTGATTGCCCACTCAGTTCAAATTAATTATTGCCTAAGAAAGTTATTATAAAGCTGACATTGTTAAGGGTGTTGATGGTAGTTTCAAGATAATCGAAATTTCTAAATTTCTTCCTATTCGATATGGAGTAAATCGAACTAATGCCTCTAATTATTCCTATGATATCTCTGCCATCAGAATACTCTAGCGGTTGATTAAGTTAAGTTAAGAGGGATCGCGCTTAGACTGTTCTATACAGTCCTTTGAACTGTCAGATGAAAACTCTTGTAATTATATATATTATTTTCGACAAATCTGATTTGGTGCTTTACCATATTTCAACTTTTGCTATTTCACCTGGATGTATTTTGGCCTTGATATGACAAAACCGGGCCATTCGAAAAGGAAATGATTCTATCTCATGTTCTTCCAAGTAGCTGATGAAATTGGCCTCCGGTAAAATTTTCCATCTTACCGCATGATTCCCGACCGAACAGTGTCCAGTTAGAACTATGAAGAAGAGCTCACTATTAAGATTTACCCTGAGCCAGAAGGATTTGGCGACTGTACAACCTGCCTGAGGTTCAACCACTTCCAATTGGAAAACGCTGCAATGGTCAGATAGCCTAAAATTGGAATTGATAGATAGTTCCTGACAGTATAGCGATTGGTCTCATTGTTTTAAAGAAGTGGCTCAATAGGGAATAACCTGACACCTAGTTCAAAAAAGGTTACTCTCTCTGTTATTTATTGAACTATTAACATATAGTGGCTCTAAGTCAAACCTACTTCTATGCAGAGTATTCCTCACGAAAATATAAATCGGAAAGTATACAGAGGGCCTATGTCTTGCCTGTAAACCGCTTTGTTATTATTCGAAAACTGGATTGAACCTTCAGACTATCATACTTACATATGTATATACATACAATGGAAATCGCAGCAACATGAAGACACTCTAGAGGTGAGCATAACGAACCAAGTTTAATTTGTAAATGCGAAATTTTTTCGTAATTAAAGAGATTTGGTGTTATCGTAGATTACCAATATTATTTTTAAACACATTTTCAGACATCTGCATGTTAATTGGTTATGTATGCAGTATTTACAAATTTGTAAACAAGTGCAATTATAAATTTCCACTGTAGCTGACGTTATTTCGTAGTAAATAATGAATAGCCGAACTGATAAGGTGCACATGTTTACTGAGGCTGGGCCCCCTGCTGAGCTGAGGCACATTATCAGTATTTGTACTGATACGTATATTTAGCAAAAATGTTTACTTAAAATAAACTAATGTACTTAACACAAATTTATATAAATGCATAATTCGCAATAAATATTATACAGTGTTTGGCCATTGAAATATAAACGGCACTAAATATAGTGTTTATAGTGTAGATACAAAAGAAGCTTATAAAGCTTATAGCTTTATCAAAACAGGGAAAATTCAGCTTCTCCAAAATAGCGGAAATCGTTTAAGAAAGTTAGTTGTCTGTTTTCGGAATAAAAACAAATACATGAAATTGTTTTTCTTCATTTATCATTCAGTGGCCTTATATTAAATATCCAATAACTGTCACATAATTTCAAAACGGGTTTGGAACTCAAAAAAAAAAATTATAATAATATATTTTCCAAATTTAAAAAAATATTCACACTGGCAACGCTTTGCGTATTTTTAGATTTCTGACTTTTCTTACTTGATTTTGGGCTTTACCTAATTACTTCACTGGTGGTACAAGTGGTAATGTAGCTATTTAATTTTGTTTGTAGCCGCAATAATCGTATAATTGTGAGATACCCTGATAACCTTTGCCATCGGCGAGACGTTCACGAGGTTGCCGCAAAAAATTTGATTCAATAATTTGGTGATAACCCCTGTTGTCAGCGGCAAAAATCGATCATTCTAACAGTGGACGTGAAGCGTACCGGACGCACAAGAACGGTAATACCGGCTATTCAACTTGGTGAACAAGCATCCAATACAGCACTAGAAGAATGGCATCCATTACAAGATTCGCACGTTTCGGCTTACAGCTCACCAATGTGGCTACAAAAACACTGCGTGTGGCACCCACTCCACAATGCCAACATTGGCGTGCATTTAATGTAAGCAGTTTGCTGTTGGCAGGTAAGAAATAAAAACATTTGTTTTATAAAATCAATTTATGCAACATTAATTGCAACCGTATTAATGATAATGAAGCAAACAGCTGTTATAACAGTGGAATTCAAACTGTTCTTGTTTAGACACGATAAGGTTGTGGTGCTGCCAGCACAAATTAAAATTTCATGTTATAATAATCATTTGTTATTATATATATAAATTTAAACTTTAGAACGTCGCTACACGGAAAAGCACGAATGGGTGTCTGTGGAGGGTACAACAGCCACTGTGGGCATTTCAGAGTACGCACAAGACGCTCTGGGTGATGTCGTCTTTGCACAACTGCCAGACCCTGGCACAGCTCTCGAGCAGAGCGATGAGTGTGGCGCTTTGGAGAGTGTGAAGGCAGCCAGTGAGTTGTATTCACCTGTGAGTGGTAAAGTAACAGAAAAAAATGGCGAAGTCGAAGAGACACCTGGTTTAATTAACAGCAGCTGCTACGACAAAGGTTAATATAGTTGTAGTAATTTGTTTATATGAAAGTAAATAAATCCTATTTTCTCACTAGGCTGGCTCTTCAAGCTGACTGTGAGTAATCCTGTCGAAATTGAGAAATTGATGAGTGAGGAACAGTACAAAGAGTTCCTTAAAGCTGCTGAACATTAGTTGTTCAATTATACGGATCACGTGGTGTTTCAAGCCAGACAATACCTTAACATAAACGATAATAATTTTTTAATTTTGATCGGTTAAGCGGGGTTATAATCACTGTAATTTATACGAATTCATATTGTAATATATTTAGTTTTAGCTTTAGTTTGTGTATTGGTTGCTGTACGCATAAAATCACATTTATTTTATTGTAAGCATTTATGCGTTTTGGGCGGGCATAATAATAAAAATAAGTAAAAATGTTGATTTTAAATGTATTGGTTTACAGCTTAGTCACTGACTCATACACACATGCGCAAAAGTAATTAAGATTAGCTTAATGCCAAAAAGCGTTTGCTATAGTTTATTTATAAACTTTGAAGGAAAAGGGTTTTTATTGTTATAATTTAGGGTAAGATATTTTGCAGCTTGAAAAAAAATATAATAATTAATTTAATTGGTTTCTGCCATTTTTGTTTGATAGAATATTATTTAAAAACAAATGTAATAATAACGAACTTATAAGACAATTATTTTATGCGCTTATTGTAGAAAAATATTTTCGAAAATTTTTAATCTTTTGGGTCGACTACATATTCACCTTTCCATTTATAAAAACAGTTTTAGTGATGAATAAAGAAAGGGAAGTATTTGATTATGAACATTGACATTGTTTTGGACTCTTAACAGTACCATAGTCTGTCATCAAATTAACAGACAATGTTTTCACAGTAAAATAGGGGGAGTTTGAAATAATAATAAATGACAGTAGGAGCTCCCTTAAAAACTCGTTTTCTTAAACTTACAGAAACACCAGAAAACGACAGAGTGCTAGGTGATTGTAATCGTGTTTAAAATTAATTATTTAATAAATCTAGGTATGACTGTTAGAGTATGGTGATTTGAAATCATTAAATGTAAACGGGAACCCTACTTTGAAAAGCTTCTTCCGAACAAAGGTTTTAATTAAAAACAAGAAAAAATGTTAAACTTCGGTCACACCGAAGCTATAGTGGTCCGATATCGACGATTCCGATAGTCGAGTGTAATTGGAGCAGATCTGGAATAATACTCGACTCTGGTCTGTCAACTTGGAAACTTCTCACAAATTGTTTGAATAATAAATTTTGCCTTTACAGCAGCATTAATAATTTCTCATCTCTCCTCTGCTACGAATAACAAGTCTCCGAAGTTTGAGTGGTGACATAAAGTTATGTCACAACTTCTGTTTACTAATTGCCCAATTCATTAATCGGCAGAAAATAATTGCAGAAAATACTTTACCATATAACGGTAGATTTATTATTACGAAAATTAAACTTATGAGGTCTTATGAGGATAAAGAAAATATTGGAATATCTAGTGCATACTTAGCATAACTATAGGCTTTCTTTTAAATACAATTTTATATATATAGACATAGAGAAATTTATACATATCAGAAACACGTACATATATATGTATATAAATATGTATAAGTATTCAACTCAGACATTTTTGCTCATTTAAATTCAATGTGCGATGATTAATCGAAATATTAGCGCTGAGCATTGGAGAGTCGCGTGTGCGGCATCGATAAGCCGGATGATTTAGCATGTCTACGAGTGAATATTTAAAGAATCAGGTGATGATTGTTGCTCAGCGCGGAGGACGACAGGCAATGGGTAGAGCTGACAAGATGTTTTTCTTATCAGAACTTTGATTTAATAGAAATTTAAAAAAATATGTTCAGAAATTGTTCGTATGTCCAATCTTCCTAAAATTATCAAGTCAGTAGCGGGTCAAATGTATATGCATTAAGAAAGTAAAAATATTTGCTTATATTTTAGCGCGTGCGCCTGTTCAAAGTACTAAGTTGTATGATCATCAGATTGTTGTAGCATCTTCAAAGTAACCGGCGAAATAAATTTATACTTACATAATGATCTTAACAGACGTATACAAGCATTTGGAAATGTATATACAATATGCATACATATATATATTTATATGTGTGAATTGGATGTATGGAAACGCCCCGTATTGAAGCGGAAATTAAATTGACATTCAATTACGGTATTCTAGTTGCGCGCTGTCAACGGGTTTTAGCGAGCGTTAGAATGATAAACTCCAAAATGAGTGCATTAAAAGGCTTCTCTATGCAACCGGTGAGAAACAGTTTACAAATTGCAACTGAAGTCCAACTTAGGATCCAGTAAAGTGAAAATACAGAAAACAAGTAAGAATTATTAGAAATTATCTTAAAATATAAAACAATTCATGAATAAAAAAATGTATATGTAGATATTTCATACATAATTTCATAAGTGTTCAATATATAATATAATATAAAGAAAATAATTATTTTAATTTTGAGTAAAATGCCAAATAGAAAATTCATTATTTTTTCCATTGACAAATACTTGCTTTACTCATTTTCAAAATTAAACTTCAATTACAATTCCTAGGATTTTTATACCGGCCTTTTCGCCTTTATTCATAAATAATATTTACACTTCATTTAATAATTGATTATAATAATTTTTATTGTGTTCCATTGCCACAGCAACGCATGGGCGGATCTACTAGTATGATTTAAATTTAACCGGAAGTTCGAAAATTTTTATACCAGGTATATGGGGGTATTATTGATCCGATCTTACCTACTTTTTATACAAGGATACACTGTTGTTAAAAAGAGCTGATTTCTAAGTTTTGCCCAATAAAACAGTATAAACTTAACCGGAAGTTTTAAAATTTGTGTATTATTAAATAGGGGGTTAGGAGACATATTGTACGTATTGACGTACCAGGAAAAGATGTTCCTCAAGTGTTATTGTTAATCTCACAGATTTACCAATATTTGCGCTAAAAAGTGAGCCATAAGCACTCAGCATATTTGGTATCTGGAGGCTTGATAAGTTATAATTAGACTTGACAATTTTTAGACCTGAAAAAGCATAGGGGCACACCTATTGAAATAAAATTTTTTTCTGCCTGTTCTTTTTATAATTCTACATATAACGACCCATCTGTTTTTTTTAACTAATCAAAAATCGAATTTTGGCTGGCTGGGTGTTATTTTACGGAGAATATCTTCTAGTTTAACGAGAATTTTTTACTTTTGTCACTAAGGGGCATTTGATATTACAATGTTGTACAAATGTAATGAAATTTGCTTGAAATCGGTCGAGTAGCTTCTGAGATATAGAATTTCTTCTAAAGGTGGGCGATGAAAAGCCCATTGTGCCCTTTTGACACCGGCTCCTAAGAAGGCCTTCCGTACCAGAACATAAAATAGCTTTCATAGTTCAATGATACATAATATAAGATGGAGGTGCAAATGTTTACTACTTTTCAAGCAATGGAATACGATTTATAAAATATTTAAAAAACACATCAAAAGTCTCTTCAATTATTTTTTGGTCGACTACTAACATTTTTGTTTTTATTCTCACAGGTATTTTTTACAAATCATGTTTATTAATATAATATTATAATTATAATTTACTAAAGTGCTGCCGACATTTCAGCGCGACGATAAAAATGATAATTTCAATGAAATCCATCTGAAATGTATTCACATGCTAACGAATAAATTTTGTAATATTAAAATAATTATGGTTGAATCGTAGATTTGTTAATATTTTTTAACCATTTCCATATACGAGTATTCTTTGAATATTTATAGAGCCTTTGTTAAACATAAATTTTTACTAAAGCTCAAAGTGGTTTACACCGTGAAATTTGCTTAGTTCTCTCTCTTCTCTACACTTCTATATGTACCTGCAACTGGAGTCCATTTCGTCGGTAGCAGCCCCAAGCACATATTTATATGACGGAAGATTTTTCACCTGAAGTTCAATATTCGTTTTATATTGCTAAAACAACAATGGCCTTAGAATTTTTTTTTCTTGAATTGTAGGTCTAAGTTCAGGACCTTTTCATTTGCAAAGTTGAAATTTGGTAATATTCCTATATAAATTTTAAACGGAAAAAGCTATCAGCAGTCATTCGTATGGCTGATGAACACAGAGAATATTGATTCTAATCGTTAAGACGTTCCTTATCAGGCGCGCTTAACCTCAGAACAGAGACTTAATAGTGACGATGAAATAATTTTTAGCATTATAACAATAAATAAATAAATAAAGTTAAAAGCAGATGATAGCATTACTGAAAAAATCTAAATTAAGATAGTAAATATGCGGTTCATTTAAGATTCCACACAAAACTACTTATTTTTTTTTTAAATTTTTCATAACAAAACTTTCTATTTCATTATATTTATACTCTTAAAACTCACTTACACAGCTTACTCTTAAACAACAAATGTCGTTTGAATGAGTAGCAAATTTCGGTAATTGTAAATAATGAGCTTTTTTGCAAAGCTTAAGTTAGTATGAAATGCGTAGAGTTTCCGAGCGTAAATTTGGCAATGAAGAGATATGGAATGCTTGCTGAAATGCTGTTAAATATACACTACTACCTGGTTTTGGGTAGTTTTGCGGTGAGTGCGGTGCAATGGAGGCATCCTATACGGTGGTAGGGAGCACATGCTCGCATGCTTTCTTGCTCTTTGCGCAGAGAAACGCTAGCAAAAAGGCAATATTAACAAGCATAATAAAAAAGCGAAATGCATAGCGAATAGTGAAAAATCGAAATGTGAATATCTGTGAGGAATTCAAGTTCAGTACACGCGAAGAGCTCAATCCGTTTGGACGGTGGTGAGAAATAAACTCGGAAGTCGATGGCAAAACATAATACATAGTATTTGTATTTAATAATAACAAACGTTACAACGACCCCAAATGCGATTATTTAATTGCTGACACAAAGGAATCATACTGCAGAAAATAATTTAAACAAAAAATAAAAAATATAATTACAAAAAAAAAAAAAAATTAATAAAGGAAATATATAATTATTGTTTTAATAAGGACTGCTCAAGCGCGAAATTGATTGTTTTAATTGAAAACGCCTTATTTTAAAACAAAAGTTGATATAATTAAAAAAAATATAGAAGTGTAAGCTAAAATATTAAATATTCTTTTTGAAAAATATTATCAGCGCAACTCAACGTTATCACAATGCCATCGGAAAAATCAATTTACAATCCGAATCCGGCAATTAGCCGTGATGCCTACATATCGAGCATGGCTGAGTATAGAAAATTCTATGAGGAATCATTGGAAAATCCAGAGGAATTCTGGATGCGCGTAGCCAAACAATTTCATTGGGAAACACCAGCCGATCCAAAAAAGTTCCTGCAATACAATTTTAATATAACCAAAGGACCAATTTCCATTAAATGGATGGAAGGTGCTTCCACAAATATTTGCTATAATCTTTTAGATCGCAATGTACGCAACGGACTGGGCGACACTATAGCCTATTACTGGTAAGCCAATTGACAAGCAGAAAAAAAAAAATAAATAAAGAAAAAAATGTAATAATAATAATAGTAAATAGGCAAAGTGAACAGCAAACAAAGCAGAATATGGAAAAAAAATAGTGACAGGCAAATGTACGAAATCAGATGATGACGCATTTCAAATGCAGCATCGATTCGGCCTGCGCAAGGATAACGAGCGCCTACAAACACTTTAGTAATTTAAACGAATTCGCTTTTGTGCTTTCATTTCGTAATTATCGATTTTTCTCGTTGTTGTTATGAACACTTGCACAAGTATATGAGAGTTGTGAAGGTAAAGCGCAGGCGATATAAACAAAATAGTCGTATCCTGCGACACGTGTGCTTGTATGAGTATATGTGCGTGCATACTTGCATTTGCATGTTTATGTGTGTGTACGTGCATAAGTAGATGTGCGCGTGCAGAGTGTATGGCTGCTAGTGTGAGCTTTCACACTGTCGCATACTCATATTTCTCAATATAAGCCACGTTTGGCGGGGTCAGGAGTATTATGGTCCCAACAATGTCCTTAAGCGACGAAGGTAGGTGAAGTGTAGTGCCGTTGTATAGGTTAAGTGTCACGAAGAAATCGTTTTGTGAGCAATGTGTAGTGTTGGCCTTGTATATGATGTACAATCATAATTTACAGTGACATACAAAATATTTTTGTATTGAAATGCAATTACATAACGGTTCTTAGAAGATGATTACGTTAAATAAAACATGCACTTTTAAGCATTTTGCAAAAGCTCAAGGATTTTAATTAGTATTTTAAAAGGAGTGCTTTGAAAGGAAAAGAAGAAACTGTAAAAGCAAATAGATTTTTAAGTAAGATTTTTCATTTTCATTGATTTGTTTGAATAACTCAAAGTATCCAAAGACGCTACATGGATATATTACCGCAGTTTTCATCGTAATCAAACTGCATCCTATTTCAGTTGACTAAAAATGGACTTTCTATATTACCAATAACAGTATTAATAATAAATTCGATGTACTTTTGTCATAATGTTTTTTATGGCTTTAGCGATGAATTTAAGCTTTTCTAGACAACTAAAATATTTTAAATTCATACATACATACTTGTATATAAGAAGATAAATCCTTAAAGAATTATGCCATTTACAACTTATTTGGATAAAGTTATTTAGTCGAATTAAATATTTTTTGTCAACTTTCGATGTAATTTATTATTTATAGACAAAATAAATATGTTAAACCCATTTTTAGGCAGAAGTTTCTTAAGTTTCTGTAAACGATAGACTGGTATAGCGAATCGCTTGAAAGTTGTGTACAAATTTGTCATTTACAACTTGTTTGAGTTGTTAATTAAGTAAGAAAAAACGTTAACTATGGTTGCACCGAAGCTAGAATATCCTTCACAAATAAAGAAGTTTCCTAACAGAACTTGATTTTGATCGGTTAGTTTGTATGGCCTATATATGCTATAGTGCCAAAGAGAGACTAGTTCCCGTATATACAGACATACTGAAATTACTAAATCTACTAGATCGTCATGCTTGAAATTTATTGTATATAACTTCTTGTACATAATTTTACTATAGTATAAAAAACGTTACCTTTAATGGAAGCTACAGGTACTAATTTTAGACATTTTTTTTAAAATTCTTTTTGAAATTAGCTAGTTATTTAAAACTATTATCTCAAGATTTCTGTTGATAAATGTGCCTCAAAAGTTTGGATTGTTTTTCAAAGTTGCGATCTCGTTGCAATTGCTTTGAACTTCAGAAATATTGTTGCATACATAATTTTATATACCTAAAATTACAAACGTGTGTGTTGCAACCCTTGCAGGAAAACTTACCAGTAGGAAATTGGTTCGGTTCTACTGCACCGAGCACCATTTTTAGTTGACGTCAAACCCCTTTGTCATGTGCGAACTTGAGACTGCAATCGATATTGCCAATTTATACGCTCTAGAGCTTAAACTATTTCGCTATTGGTACCTAACTGTCTGAAGTTGGTACTAACCAGTCTGAAATGGTCGAAAAATCAGCATTCGACAATTTTAAACGAAAACCATCACGGAGTTCTTGCAATATTTTTTGCAACTTTTTATATATTTCATTAACATTTTTTATATGCGGAATATTTTAAGCCAGCTGGTCTAAATTAGGCGAAATTGCTCGTTCTAGTTTTCCTATAAGGTATTGTGCCGTGTTCTACTTATTGTTAGTATGCATGAATACATTTGAGATATAGTAGGTATAATTGACCCGAAGTCGAATAAATTTTTTATTTTGTTTTCAAAAGAAAAAGCTCACTTTATGGAAATTTGAATTCTCTTTCATTTTATGCTTTGTGCACTTCGCCATTGTTAATAATTTCCCTTGACTTTGTTTTCGAAAACTGGTTTTACATTGCAATAATAATATTTGTAGTATTGAGTGTAGTTCATTAAAAATTGCAGGTGAACGGATTTTAAAGTTTTTCAATTCGTGCTTTACCACAAAAGAAACTAACTGCAACTTAACCTATAGAGGTACATATTTCTTATGTCATCTGCTTAGATTTCTTGACGGCTAGTTAGACAGACAGCTGTTTTCTTGTTACCTAACTTCTTGCGACAGAACAATTTCGCTCAGCAAAATCAATTGTCACTTTACCTCTGAATTTCTCATACTTTGACGGACATTTTAGTAAGCGATTAGTAAAATCTGACAATTTGTAATTCTTATTCGTTATTCGAATGATATTTACACCCTTTTGCAAATTTAAATGCCGTTTTTGTACATTTTTCTGCGACCCTATTCAAATAAGCAGCTTTTTCTATTTTTATACTGTCTAAGTATGTTTGAATTATTTTATTTAAATTATTTATTGTACTCGTAAAGGCTTGTTATTAGAATATTTGCTAAGATGCAATGCACATAGAATTCATAAGTACATTTATAAATTTATGTACATAGTTATATGTATAATTGTCTTGCTTTAAGAAACATAATACGTATGAATAAATAAATAAACAATAATTATATGTGAGAGAAATATATTCAAACTTTTTGCAACAAGAACTTGTACGCAAGAATTTTCGGAATGTAGCAGTTTTCATCTGATCAAATTTGACCCGGACTGGACCGTTTAAACTGAACAATTAGTTTGCTGGATGTTTTGTGTTTCCAATAGAATCACGGCTAAAAAAGAATCGTTGAAAATGTAGCAGAAGTGTTCTGGAGAGTATACTTTATCACAAAAACTGGTATTTGAGTAAACGACAAAGCATTTAATGAAGGTTGTGAAGTCATCGAAAATTTGCGTCTGGCGCCGCGTCAATCCTTCACAGTTATTGACGATAACAACGGAAAAGTAAGAAAAACTGTGCTTGAAAATCGTTGTGTTGGCATCATATCTTTCTGCAAAGGATCTCAACATATCTTATGGATCGACTCAACACATTGTGGTTAATGTTTTGGGTATGAAATGTGTCAATGTTAGATTCGCACCAAAATACATGAATCTTTTGCAAAAATGACGTCAAGTAGAGGTCGCAAAAGAGACAATTGACAATGTAGCTGAATACCCTACATTCATCAAAAGTATCAAATAGTGGTGACGAGACGTAGAAACTTGAATTTGTCGTCATAGCTGCAAAAGGATGCCAAAATAATTAGTATAAAATATTGATGAACTGTTTGAATGAAATACCGATGAAGTCTCAACCTAAGGCTCCATTTTGAAATCTTATGAACAAAGAAATTATCTTCTTCTATTTCGTTGTTGTTGTTGATATTTTCGATTCAACCAACTAAATAAATTTGGCCTTGAAAAAAATGTCAAAAACTTAACTATCACAGATGCAATTGAAATTAATCTAAAACTTTCAAACTTACCAAATAAAAACGAGTGATATCAAAGGTTATTTCCACTTCAAAGTGTTTTTATCACAAACAATACTTGAAATTTATAGATTCCTTAAAAATATTATTGTAACAGTAGGAAAAAAATTGCAACCACAAATCCGCCGTAAACAATACACAATTATCCGATATACATATGTATTTGCAACTTATACAGAACAGCGACGAAATGTACTTCTGTATACGACTGTGTTAAGTGTGACGCGCAAAGCAGAAACGAAAAAGTCTTGGCTTTTTGCTATACATTTTTTCAATTATGTTGAGCTGATGAACAAAACTGTTAAGTGGTTTGGGAAAAATTCTTTGAGCGGATAGCAAGCAAAGAGCTTCATCATGCAAAATACAGTAATTTAATAATCAAAATTGTAAAATCAATCCAATTAAAATAATCTTTTACATTTATGTTTGCGAATGTAAATAATTTTGTAATAGAACCCTAGTAATAGGCACTTATAGAGTGTTATTAAGTATATAATAGGCACTTATATAAGTTTAGTTTAAGTACGAAGACCTTTTTATAATGAGTGTTAATTAGATAATGTCTGCGACTTGGTCTACACAAATATTAAACACATGATAATGCGTCCACATAACACAATACATACATACATTCATACACATGTGTACAAACATACCTATATATAATTGTTTGTGTGACAGTGTGTGTGTGCACTCACGCATTAAAAATTGTATATTTGCAAATGAAATGAAATTTTGCAAACAATTATTTCCTCTTATCACTGTAAATTGAAATTTTCTGATTCTTCACAATGAAAGAGAAAGAATATATACTATATTTTTAACAGATAATTATATTCGTGCAAATATATATTTATACATTTATATTTTTATATATTTATATTTATAGTTTCTATAGTATATATTGTTTTTTCGTAGCTATATTTAAACTTGTTAATGTATAAAATACTTTGAAGAATTATTCATAGGAGATTATTATTATTAAATATTATTTTTATTTTTTAGGAACTGATGTATATTTTCTAAAAGATATAAAGTATATTTTTATATTTATTTCAAATATTATATTTTACTAAAAGGCAAATAAATTTGGAGAACGGAAATATGCAACCGATTGAGGTAAAGTGAGC